GGCGGCGAACGATACGATACCGTCGCTGTCGGCAGTACCGCGGTCGGGGACGAAGTCCAACACGAAGACGCCGGACTTCAAGAGGGCACGACCGATGAAGAGGCCGCCCTTCCCGTGGTAAAGCCGGAACTCGTTGGAGTAAGAGTCGCACTCCAGGTGAATCCCTTTGGCCATTAGTTGGCTTACGCTTAGTAGATTGTATCCCAGGTTGTCGACAATGAGCACTTTGTTGAGCTGCAGTATTACGTTTGTTTCCATGGATTGTAGCTGAACCACGCCTTGTCTGTTTGTCTTCAGGTTTTCGTTGTTGGCGACTGTGATGACGACGTCGCGGTTGAGTCGTTTCTCCTGTTGCACGAAGCGTCCCGAGGAGCACATGTGTTGACCGCAGCAGCTGTCCAAGAACCAGGTGTTTCGCCCGGTGGGTTCGGCGTTGGCGACTGCAGCGTATGTCGGGTTGACCTGAAGTCCTTGCGAGCGCGGTGGCGGGAATTCCTCTTCGTCTGGTGCGTAAGTGGGTGGTGAACCGGGTGCGCAGTTGTCGATGTGTACCATGCAGTTGATGATGTTGGGTGTTTGTTGTGCAGATGTTGAAGAGCGCCTTGGAGGACTTGCTTGAGTGGAAGCGACTTGTGGGTCTGCTGCACGGTAAACGCGAGGGCGGTTGCAGTTGACTTTGGAGTGCCCGGAAGTCTGGCAGTTGTGGCAGAACGGCGGTACGATGGTGAGTCCTCGGTTGTCGCGTTGATCTTGCTTGCTGCGTCGGTTGTAGTTGTTGTCATTTCTTCTTTGAGTGTAGAAGACTAACTGCTGTTGCTTCCTTGGTTGTCTTTCCTCGAACAGATCCATCTCCTGTTGTTTAGCGTGAAGCTCGGCGCAGAGGTGCATCTCCGAGATTCTTCCGTGGGCTCGAAGAAGTGATCGTGTGGTTCTCCATTCTGGCCCGAGCCCGGCGAGGACAAGTGTCACGAAGCTTTCTTCAGTGATCGTTCCTCCGCACCGAAGCAGGCGGTCGCGGAGGGTCTGGCAGCGACTCATATACTGCATCGCCTTTTCCCCGGTCTTCATCTGTATTGTTGTCAGCTGTTGCATGAGTCTGCTTTGTGTCACGCTGTCGTTTGCTTGGTAAAGGCACTTGAGGTGGTGCCATGCGAGCTCCGCAGAGTTTCCATAACTCCGATACGTTCTGATGCTCTGCTGCTCTTGTGGTGACAGGTTTCTCAGGAGTACCGTGTACGCCAGCAGCGACTGATATGTGAAGATCTCTTGTTCCTTCCCAGTGCCGTTGCTTGGGAATGGCAGGGACCCGTTGAAGTATCCCAGAAGATGCGCGGCCTCCATCAGCAGCTCGAACTCGAAGCTCCAGGTAAAGAAGTCGTGTCCGTTGAACGGTGAGGATGTCTGAAGTTTGATCACGTGTGAGAACTGCGCCTGTAAACTTAAGATTTCATTCGGTGTTTGTTGTGATGCAGCTGCTGTTGGCTGGGCACGGGGCGGCATGAATTCGAACGTCCCCGGCGAAGAATGATAAGGCGCAAAGGTAGGCGCTTGGTTGTGTCGCCCGAAGGATGAGTTGTCGAGGCTCATCGGCGCTAATCCCATATTCCCTCCATTGCTCTGTGTTGAGTGCGCAGGTGTCCTTGTCTGCTGCTGCTGGTCGAAGTGTGACATGAAGCTGAAGAATCTCTCCATGAGATTCGGGTCCACACTTGAAGAGGGAGACGGAGTCACCATCTCTGGTACTCTTCCCGTTGTTTCTTGAGTAGTCCCGGTCTCTGTCTGCAGTCCTGAGGTGTGCAGACCAGAGTTGCCGTGTTGAGTTTCTTGGGCGCTGGGTGAGCCCGTAGAGACTTTCTTGCCCTTGTTGTCCATGTCTTGTAATCAATGGAGTTGTTGAATCAAGTTGAGTTGCTGGTTGTTGATGGAGTGTAGTTGCTGGGAGTTTTGGTCTCTGACCAGCTCTCATACCATGTTGGGCTGAGAAAAAGCCCTTGGGATCTTTTGCAGAGACTAAGTCCCAGCTGTAGAGACTTGAGACTTGGAGTAGTGCAGCGGAAGTTGAGACAGTTGAACCCTTGTACTAGTATGTGAGAACAAGTGATTGATTAAAGAAACAAGCATACAGCAATATATAGAAGATAAGAAAGCAGTTGCAGAGTACAGTTACAGGAACGGTTTATCGAGTCGCATAGCGACTCGATTGCCGCTTCGGTTACCATCCGTGATGCTGTAACGGTCAGTCGCAACCTCCAGTTGCGACCCTTTGAGTCCCAGACCCTTCGTGTTCTTTGTCCGCCCCCTCGTGTAACCTCCGTTGACTCGCGTACCCCTTGCAATCTTCCTCGAGTGTAGTGTTACACTTCAGAAACGCTTAAGTCTTTTGATGTACTTTCAACAAGCACAAAGATTCCCTCCCTATAGGAACCCCAACTTTGACATTTATCCCTTCCCAACCAATCCATCCAAGTTGGCCACCCTTGCCAACCTAGCTTGGTTGTTCCCAACCAATTTGCAGCTGTTACAGTAGAGTGACGAATTTCCCCAACCCCAAAGGTCCCAACTCCATATAGAGTCACCCTACAACTTCACTTTGTAACCGCCGCAATTGTAACGCAAGCTCATGAACTTTGAATCTTCATAGCTTTCGCGTTCTTGCTCTGATTGAAGCGATTCTTGTTGCGTCGGAAAGATCTTCTCAAGATCTATCATCACAAATACTTGCTCAAACAAAAATAACACATAACATATTCCCAAACTCCAGAACACACCAAACACAAATGCATGCACATTCAAACCACACATGCAAATTGAAAACATGGGATGGGAGGCAGACAGAATGTGATAGCATATGATGACATCACACAACAAGAAGCTGGTAAAAGCCTACCGGTAGAAGTGGTCTGTCACACTCCAGCGGTAGCAGGCCATTGGTCCTGCATGCCAAAGTCGGGCAGACCTCAGGGGAAGCCTTCTTACATGACCTACCCCTTGATGAGCCACTCACCTGGGGGGAACTCGAAAAGACGATAGAACCTACCTCTGGCGGGTGGCCTGGCAGTAGTAGGATGCCTAGGAACCCTTGCTGTGCATGTTCCTGCTTTGTATCTTGTACACCTTATAAGGCTAATACTAAGGACCCCTTGAGAGAGAGAGAGAGAGAGAGAGAGAGAGAGAGAGAGAGAGAGAGAGAGAGAGAGAGAGAGATTGGGATTGAGGGAGGGAGGGTGGGAGGGAGGGAGCAATGTGCACGGTGCCAGCGCGCAAGTCGCCAGCGCTTTACGCCAGCACGCTAAGTGCCAGCAGGCAATGCGCCAAACAAGTGCAGGCTTGCGGGCTTACCAAATGCGGGCTTAGTGGATGTCCTAAGAAATGAAGAAGAAGAGTCTAGGAGGAAGAAAGGAAAAAACTAGGCAGAATTTGTAGGAAAAAATGGGTTCATGCAAGAAACCAGATGAGAGAAAATGAAAGGTATAAGCACGAACATAGGAATCAGTACGCACTCATAGCTAGCATGCTCCAGGGTGGCAAGAGCAAACCCAAATAGGGGTGCGTTCTCATCCATAGAAAGCTGGCCCAGAACAGATCAGGACCTGTGAGAGTACGACCCTGTTCCATTCCTTTCTCCTTGCCATCTTCCCTTTCCATCCCATTCCTCTTTTTATCCTGATTCATTTGGTCTTTATCTTATTCCATTTGGATTCCTAATCCTCTTTTTCCATAAACCTTTTATTTATCCTGTTATTATCATTATATCACCGACCAGGCTCGGGATGTACTTGTACGCTATATCTAGCGTAATCCTGACGTAATCCCTTAAAGCCAATAGCCTTGCGTGGCTATATGCAGGGTGATTCTATATTCTAGAAGGGTCTATTCCCTTAGGATAAGATAGACCTGGTTACCTGAAATACTTTGGAAGTATAAAAGCACCTTGTATCAATCGATAGTGAAACTTTTCCTCGACACATTCGATCCTGTGGCATTTGGTAATCAGAGCTTTTCTCACTCGGGCGCGCTCAGCTAAGCAGCAGCAGCGGGAATCTTGCCTCGAAAAACCGCCGGGGGCGACCAATTCAACGACGATTCTGGTAAGCACCAGCTCCGCGTTTTTTTGAATTTCCCCCTCCGCGCGTGTTTTGAACAGGATGGCGAACTTCGACAACACCGAAGTTACCCAGCAGCTCTTCCCAAGCATCGCCGCCCTACCGGAGGAGATGCGAGCTGACCGCGAAGCTTGGCGAAACGAGTTCGAGCGAGTAACTCGACTCGCCGGCGCGCAACACGAAATGACAACGGCGACGACGCAGCAGTCGCAGCAATTTCTCGAGGCTCCGAAGCCGCGCCCACCTGAGCCGTTCGATCCGAGCGATCGAAATTCCGACGTCCGCAGATGGATCGCCGGCATGGACATCTAATTCGCAGCCGTTGGATGGAGCTTGCCAGTCTGGGACGGTCAACGCGTACAGCTCGCGGCGACACTGATGCGAGGGCCGGCACTCGAGTGGATCGGCGGTAACAGCACGTTCATCCACGGCAAAGCCACGTGGCAGCAGTTCCGCACCGACCTGCTGAAACGTTTCGAGCCGATGAATTCGGGTTTCCTTGCCCTGGAAAAAAATCATCGCCATCGACAGTTCGGGAGTGTAGCACAGTACACGCAGCAGATGGAAGAATTTTATAACCGCATTCCCGATCTGATCGAAGGGGAAAAAGTACAGTCGTACCTCGCCGGGCTGAAGACCGAAGTCAAACGACAAGTGGCAGCGACAAACTACGCGAGCTACAGTGACGTCGTATCGGCCGCGGAACGCTTCGACATGGTCAACGCTGGGACACGACGGGCGCACGTCGGCAGTACGCGATAGGGCGACCGCTCGGCTCACTCCACGTTCGCCGACCCGATGGAAGTCGACAAGTTCGAAGGGCGGCCACGTCCGAAAAACACCAACTTCACGTGTGATTTTTGTGCGGTGCCGGGTCATCGAATCTTCGACTACAACAAAATGAAAGCCGTACGCGCTGAGTATCGGGCACGCATCAGTGGCGGAAATCCTTCGGCCAATCAGAAGACAAAAAACGGAGCTCGCACGTGATTGCGGATCTAGCTGGCGAAAAAGAACAGATCCAAAAAAATCAACTTCGACGCAGCTGATTCGACGCGAACAGGAGAAAATGATGGGGAAAAATCTCCACGCCACGACCAGTCTTCGCCAGGGAAAATCGCAGAGAAAAAATCCGACTTCGCGAAAAAAGACTGTGCCTAGACGGGGAAACTCCTTGAAGACCCAAGAAATTATAAGGATTCGTTGAAGTTATCTTATAAAGATGCTTTAATGAAAACTTATGATTCTCGAGGGGCTAGAGCCTTGGAGAAATTTCGGGAGGGACTCCAAAAGAAGCAGAAAATTTTGGAGATCGTACCGGTACCGGAGAACATGGGGACCAAATTAAGGAGTGTGGAAAGAAGCCGACCTTTCCACGGAGTCAACGTCCTCTCCCGACACCAGCCCACAAAGACTACCCGTTCCCCAGGGAAGACGTCGGTGGAGCTAAAGCAACTCAAAAGGAAGCTGGGTGTCTACAAGAAGCTGCAAAAACCCCGAACTGCTCCTTCGGATGCATCCAACTCGGCAACTTCATCAACGACACGAACAGTCATCACGGAAACTCCGGGCCCTGGAGAAGAGCCTTTCTCCAAGCAGCCTCGGCCAGCTGCCAGCTCAGGAGTAGGAAGCAACAAATATTGGGATGTACCCTATGTCCCAATCAATGAAACTATTTTTGGGTACTCTGAGCAACGCCTGCCCCTCGTGCTCGAGGTCACCTGCAAAGGACGACGCCTCCAAGCACTCGTGGACAACGGAGCATCGGACACCGTATGCGACAAGGCAACCATCGACCAACTTCGAGAAGAGTGCAAGCCATCGGCATTTTCTGCAACGATGGTGGACGGCAGCAAATTACCAGTGTACGGCGAAGCAGTGTTACACCTACAAATCGGACCAATGCGCTGGAAACCTGCTCTCCCCATCACCAACATATAAGGGCTTGACCTGATCTTCGGGCGAGACTTCCTAAAACGATTCAACCCTGAGATCAACTGGGTAAACCGCACTGCAAGCATCTACAACAAAGGAAGGAGAGTCCAGCTACCCAACTGGGACGATACAGGAGATATCCCTGTGGAGACACTCGCCAGGTTCGAGAAGGACGTCAAGCGGACCAACACCGGATTTCTGGCGATAGCAACAGAGGAAGAGAATGACGGAGAGAAAGCCTCGGAACCTCCAGAAAAAATCAAGGACTTACTGAAGGAGTTCCAAGACATTCTTCCCGACGACCTCCCGGACGAGCTACCGCCATACCGAACGCACCAACACGAGATCGTGGAGGAACCAGGTTCGAAGCCGACCTTCCGGGCACCATACCGGCTCAGCCCTACAGAGCTAGCCGACATGAAAAAGCAGATCGAGTATCTCCTCGCCAAAGGACTCATCCGACCATCCACTTCACCATACGGTGCCCCAGTACTCTTCACACCGAAACCGGACGGAAGCCTGCGCATGTGCATCAACTACCGAGCTCTCAACAAGCAGACCATCTAGAACAAGTACTCGATTCCACGAATCGATGACCTGCTTGACCAGCTTCAGGGAGCCACGGTATTTTTAAAACTAGATCTGCAATCCGGATACTGGCAGATACGAATGGCTGACGATTCTGTTCACAAAACTGCCTTCCGCACTCAGTATGGATCGTACGAGTATCTGGTAATGCCGTTCGGACTCACCAACGCACCTGCAACGTTCCAAGCAGAGATGAATCACATCCTACGCCCACTCTTGGACGAATGCGTGGTGGTGTACCTGGACGACATCCTTATCTACTCGCGCGATATGCAACAACACATCGAACACCTGAGACGCGTCTTCGAGATTCTTCGACGAGAACGCTTCTACGTCAAAATATCCAAGAGCGACTTCGCCCTCGAAAAAGTCCAATTCTTCGGACATATCGTAAGCGCTCAAGGAGTTCACGTCGACCCCAAGAAAATCGAAGCCGTACGCACGTGGAAGACACCCAAGTACGTAAAGGAGTTACAACAGTTCCTTGGCTTCGTTAATTACTACAACAGGTTCGTGCCACAATACGCGAAGATCGCCGAGCCACTAACGAATCTGCTAAAGAAGAACACGCCCTATAACTGGGAACCAAGACATCAGGAAGCTGTGGAACAGCTGAAACAAGCACTCACGTCCGCACCTGTACTCATCTTAAAGACCCCGAACGCGACTACGTCATCGAAGCTGACGCCAGCGACCAGGCAGTGGGAGCAGTCTTGATGCAAGTCCAGGGGAATGGACTGCAACCAATTGCCTACCTCAGCAAAAAACTACACGGGTCAGAACTCAACTACCCAATATACGACAAAGAGGCCCTTGCTATCATCATCGCCTTCAAAACGTGGAGATGTTATCTCGAAGGACGCAAAACAACAGTCTACACCGACCATTGTAGCCTAAAATATTTGAAGACACAACCAAGCCTCTCCAGGCTAGAGGTTTGGTGGATCGACTTCCTCGAGACGCACTTCCACTACGATATCGTGTATAAGCCTGGCCATAAAAACAAAGCGGATGCGCTTAGCCGGCCTGCACATGTTGCCGCGATCCAGGTTGAAGGGATGAATCCAGTCCTCAAGGGACTCTTCACACACGGGTACACCATCGACCCCGAAATTCCCTTGGCAGAAAGGCGACACCTGCTACAGTGAGACAACGACATCGCGTACCAGAAAGGATCAACGAAAATCTGGGTACCTAATTACCCTCCATTGCACCAATTACTACTCGAAGAATACCACGACGTCCTTTACGCAGGACACTTCGGTAGCAACAAGACGCTCACCGGTATCGCCAAACACTACTACTGGCCCCACGTAGCAGATGACGTGCAGAAATTCGTCACCTCATGCACTACATGCTAGCGGATGAAGAGCAGCAAGCAGAAAAAGGCGGGTCTGCTACAGCCTCTTCCTGTCCCAGAACAGCCATGGCAAGTGGTCAGCCTAGATTTCATCACCGGGCTACCAACTACCACAAGCGGTCATGACGCGATCCTCGTCGTCATTGACAAGTTCTCCAAAATGGGACACTTCATCCCGACACACACAACAGCACGCACCGAAGAGATAGCGCTAAACCCTAAACACGATCTTCTCTAGACGCCAACCGCCGCCGCCGCCGCCGCCGCCGCCTGTCCTCGTCCATGATGAACCCGAGTACGAGGTCGAGTCCGTGCTTGCTCACCGCCGACGACGGAATGGCAACGTGGAGCTTCTCATCCGTTGGAAGGGTTATGATCCTTCAGAGGATAGCTGGGTCTCTGAATCCGAGATGGATCACGCTCGTCGTTCTCTTCGCAACTACCTTGTCAAGCAGGGTGTTACGTCTACCACCCAGCTTTGAGGGGGGGAAGTGTGAGAGTACGACCCCGTTCCATTCCTTTCTCCTTGCCATCTTCCCTTTCCATCCCATTCCTCTTTTTTGTCATGATTCATTTGGTCTTTATCTTATTCCGTTTGGATTCCTAATCCTCCTTTTCTAGAAACCTTTTATTTATCATGTTATTATCATTATATCACCAACCAGGCTCGGGATGTATTGGTACGCTATATCTAGCGTAATCCTGACATAATCCCTTAAAGCTAATAGCCTTGCGTGGCTATACGCAGGGTGATTCTATATTCTAGAAGGGTCTATTCCCTTAGGATAAGATAGACCTGGTTACCTAATGTACTTTGGAAGTATAAAAGCGCCTTGTATCAATCGATAGTGAAAATTTTCCTCGACACATTCGATCCTGTGACAGGACCCGTACTGTCGTGTCATCTAAATTGTGTAACAGAAGCGAGCATTTTCTGCGTACAAGTCGCCTCGGGCTTTTTGCGTCATTTTGATAAAGGACTAGGCACGCCTCTCACACTTCCTCCAGCTAGCCTTGGACCACCTGCGTTGCATGATCTTAGTGAAGGACCAATTGTGTCCCTCACACATGCTCTAAAATGCCGCGAACCACTGGCGAAACTCTTTGAACTAACATAGGGGAGGGGGAACGTGACACAATCAGATATGATTCTTTTCCATGTTGAAATTATATAAAGGCTGACTCGCCAAGCTCATTAAAACATTTTTTTCAGTCCTAAATAAACAAGAATACGTGAATTTTAGGGTTGGTGAAAGTCAAAAGTTGGAAAATTAGGGTATGCCCTAAAAAACACCCTAATATACAGTACAACTTTCAAGGCCTTTTTGGTCTGACTTATAAGGGGCTGCTCTAAACACAGCATTGTATGTCAACGCTAGCTCTCATGATATCCCTACCTTTGAGATGCCTGAAAAATAGCTAAGAGAGTGGCCAAAGTAGGGTGCTGACGCCAGCTATGCTTAGCTGACGTCAACTCGCCCACAAAACTGCTCGTCGGAGGGGGACGTCAAACTACCCGCGTAACCCTACTTTGACCATGTTCACAAATAAGAATTCTGCCCAAACAGTGATGGGCATGGGAAATTTCTACAAGGGCAAGGCAAGGACTATAATCCTCAAGCATACAAAATGTTACAGCGAGTATGCCATTAGGTCCGTGACATTTTACTCCATATAATACTCCAAGGTACGGAATTTGATAAGATCCACCACGATGTACTCCGTCTGTACGGTATACATCTACTGTTAGACTTCGCTAAAAAAGCGCAAAAGAACATAGTGACCAATCACGACAGTCGCATAGTGCCACCGACCATCGATTCGCGCCACCCGAATTGGGTGCGATCGAAGCATGCGAGCGTCGCCAACCAACCCGCGAGTGCGAGCTCGGAAATTCCCCGTGAATTGTGCTTGGAATTGCCCGGCCAATACGCGCTTGCCAGGGCGATCCGACGTAATCACGACGGACCGGGGGGGCGAACACAAAATCACATACCCCCGTCCACTTGGCACTTTTGCATGCGAGCTGACATGGGCATGAATCCGTACCCCCTTTTCATCCATTCTGTCTTATTATTACGGCCCTATTCTAATCCTCATGTCAAGAGCATTCGAGGCATTTTCCATATTTTAGAACCAATCACGTAAATATTCAGGCTACCCGCGTGACACGAATAGGTCCGTCCCGAATACGAAAACACGACCCACGGTCCCTTAATCACCATTAACAACAACACGTTTCGAAAAGGGTTTTTCTCAAGGGTTTTTTTTTCACTTTCGTTAAAACGTGTGATTGGTTAACGAAACCACTCAATTCAGTCGTCAAAATATCGTTCCGTTAAGCCCTCTTCGTGAGACCACGAAAAGGGTTTTCCAAATTATTTGATTTGCGCGTTTTGAGCCTGCGCTGCTTGCGGGCAGGTCGAGAACGAGGTGTTACTTCTATTGTCCGCGATAATTCTGACCAGACGACAAATTCGCTGAGCGTTTTTTAAGAAGCCACCTGAGCTCTCACATGATACGCGGCGAAATCGCTGGTAACTTGGCCCATTGGCCAATACGCCAAGGAACTCATCGTGAACAGAACAAATAAAACGGCATACGCCACCCTACCTAAACCACTCGTGCTACTCGATTATCCATTTTGCCCGTTGTGAACCGCTCCTATTCGTCGTAGTCCATATTTGCGAGACGCAGATTTGGAGCATAGAGCATACCCGCTGTACCACATCAACAGCACGATTTTCGTGCTGTATTGAGGGGGACGGGTGGCTCGCGTTTGCAACTACTTCCTACGTGAGTCTCTTGGGTTTTCACGAATTGGTATTCGTTGTTTTGTTGCGTCTGTCAATGTTTTGTGGACAGTTTTTTTCCAATTCGATCCATAGTTGGAAAATCTGTGTTTACGTCAATCGTGATTACAAAATTTAGGAAACCGTACTTTGGTCATAACGGAAATCGGCACTGTAGCGTGTTCAGTAATGGTAACCCACTTTGCAAGCCAGTGGCATCCCACCAAGGCTACTTTGGCCACCCTCTAAGGGCGGGTCCCAACAGTATGTCCCTCAGTACGTTTTACACGGTCCAGTTTGGTGATTCGAGGTTCAGAGCGGTGAAGTAAGAAACCCCGTCCCTTTCACACAACTGGGAGGTCGCGCAGACAACTTATCCAATGCATGAGCAAGATTCTGTAACCAAGTGACTGTTTTTACTCTGGATTTTTCCCTTCAATGTCCCGTTTGCCCGGGTTTGACAGTTTCCTGTTTACAGTCTCAGGTCGCTTTCAAAAATCGTAAGACTAAATAAGAGAACAAGTGTACTTGGTCCGGACCCCTTGGCCCATTCCGCGATCGTGTCATTCCAGCTTCCGGTCATCATTTGGCTGCTTCCGGAACTTCGGGGTAATGATGATCAGAAGTCAGAATGACACGAGCCCAGAATGCGCCCTTTACCCGTCTTGCGAACATGCATTCAAATCGACTTCACATCCAGCCTCGGAGCATTGTTGACACCACCACTAGAGCCACCTGACTTTCTGCTCGATTCTGACACGAGTCCACGAATTCACTTCCAGCCTCACGGAGCATCGCTGTAGCGACAAGAAACAGCCAGCTGACTTCGGAAGGGACTCCAAAGCAAACCATTTACAACAAACCACCTCCGAGCCTCCGAGATTCTTAGCCTCCCAGCTTCCGACCTCCGACGTCCGACCTCCGAACCTCCGCACCTCCGCATAGCTTCGGAGCCTCCGAGCCTCGGAGTCTTTAAGCATGGCCAGCCACAGCCTTCTCGAGGCCTTCTCCCGTTCCTTCGCCCCTGTTCTCGCTGCCCCCTCAGCCGTCCATGCAGCGGCTGCCATCTCAGCCGTTGCCGAATCCGCGTTTGCTTCGACGGCATCTCGCATGCTCTCGTCTGCTGCCGGCTCTTCCGAAGTTACATCCTCGCCGCATTCCCATCGCTCTCCCTCCCCTCAATCTCTCTCTCCTCACTCTCCCTCCCCTCGATCTCCCTCCCCTCTCTCGCCCGCGAGCTCTGACCGCGCTCTCTCAAGCAGCAGCGCCGCACCACCGTCCTCCCGTCCGTCGCAGCAGCCGCTGCCGCAGCACAAGGGCCTGCCGCAGCTGCCGCCTCCCCCTGCCGTGCCGCAACGGCGGGTCGTTGTGACAGGTGGGAGCTGGGAGAAGTTGCCATCATAGTCCCGTTCTTGCGCACCCCCTCTCCTCTTACTCATTCATGCCCGCCATATGCATGGTCACCCCTCTCGGGGTCACTGCGGGTGCCACGTGGCAGGTTCTTATTAGCAGAGAAAGCGCAATCTGAGCCCCACCGGACATAGCCATTCCCGGCACGCCCACGCCACTGCCCTGCTCTCTCCGTGACCCCTCCGTGTTTGCCCTCCACCAGGCATTGGCACGGTAACCCCACTGGGAGCCAGATCTGCTGCCACGTGGCAGCACCTGATTTGAGGAGAAACCGCTGTCAGAGCTCTAACTCCATCGGACATAGCTGCGCCGCTCCCCTGCTTCCCGCCACCTGCTCTCCCTCACTTTTCCAATCCCCTCATCGTCCACCCCAACTCCAGGAATAGGCATGGCCACCACTCTAAAAGTCGTTTTGGCTGCCACGTGGCAAGGCCTTGTTAGCAGAGAGAGCGCCAACTGAGACCTGACCCCATCAGACATAGCAATACCCGCAATACATGGGATTAGGGCCGAGCCAGGCTCGGTTCGACCCTACCCGGCTTCAGTCTACCTGGTGTTTCGGCTCAGCTCGTCAGGGTTTGCGCGGCGGGCCAGATTCGAGCCGGCTCGATTTCCGCTCGAATCCAGCTCGCGCGCGGCTCCACACGGACCCGTGACATTCTCCAGGGGGAGAAGGGGGCGCGTGTAGGGTTAGGTTTTCCCTTTTCCACGTGAAAGATCCTTCATTACAGCCTCAAGCCCCTGGAAAACACCCTGCTCGAGCCGAGCCGAGCCGGCTGGATTTCAAGCCGGGGTTTGGCTGGACCCTTTTTGGTCGAGAGGAGCCAGGTAAAATTTCAGGCCAACTCGACCCGAGCCGAGCCAGCTCGGCTCGACCGGCACCCGGCTCGACCCCGGCTCGGGCCAGGCTCCGGCCGGCTTGGCTCGGTCATGTCTAATACCCGGCATGTCTGACACCCACGCCACTGCTCTGCTCTCCCACTTCCCCTCCTCCCATGTCGCTTAGACCCTTCCTGATCCCTCCGTGTTTGCCCTCCCCAGGCATTGGAGCAAGTTCTGCTGCCACATTGTTTGGTCCGATTGGAGGGCAGAGCGCCATCCGAACTCTGACCCCATCGGACATGGCCATACCCGGCATGACTGACGCCCACGCCCTGCCCTGCTCTCCCACTTGCCCCCTCCCGTGTGGCTGGCGTTGATCCCCTTGATGGGGGGAATGGTTGACACTGTATGCCCTCCTCCCCCCCCCAACTCCCTCCTCCAACTCCCTCCCCCAACACACTCAAACACCAGGCATTGGCATGGTCACTCCTCTAGGATCAACTTCATCTGCCACGTGGCAGCACCTGATTGGAGGAGAAAGCGCCATTCGAGCCCTGACCCCATCAGACATAGCCATACCTGGCATGTCTGACACCCTTGCTGCTGCTCTGCTCTCCCAGCTCCCCTCTCGCATCGCTGGTGTTGTCCCTCCTGTCACAACCCTTCCCGACCCTCCTACTGGGGATGCTGACGCGCCCAACACAGCAACGGCTTCTGCTGCTACCAGTGGTGGTGGTGGTGCTGTTGGTGCTGCTGCCAGTGCTGCTGCTGGTTTGGAGGGAATGCCTCGGTTTGTGCAGCATGCGATACGAGCAGCAGATGAAGCGATGAGGGATGCGCGGTGGATGCCAGAGGAGGAAGACGACCGCGTGAGAACGGTGAGAGTATGTTGGTTGGAGGGAATGTGCACTAGGTTTGCTTTTGAGCGGCAGATGAGACGATGAGGCTTGCTTGCTGGATGCCCAGAGGACGAGGACGGCTGCGTGAGAACAGTGAGTGTGTGGTTGTGTTGCTGCTGCTGGTGCCGGTTTAGAGGGAATGCCTTGGTTTGTGCACCAAGCAATAAGAGCAGCAGATGAAGTGATGATGGACGTGTGGTAGATGCTAGAGGGAGAGGACGGCCGCATGAGAACAGTGAGTCGGAGCGATCCTAGTGACAGCCTGTTTTGGGATGTCTTGCACCTGGAATTGTACGAAATATGCATGTTGTACCTGAAATGGAGTCTGCAGATAAGAGTTTCAGGAGGATAGTTGAGCATCAGAGCCATGCCATGGCACCAGCAACGACACAAAACTGTAATATGACTGGTTAGCCCTCTGTGCTCAAATGTCGCCAGACCATTCCAGATAGCATTTCACCATGTAACACGTCAGCAACACCTTTAGCTTCAGCTTCTCTTAGTCGTTTTGCCAGTTCCGCTCATGGCGAGCACTCTTCTAGAACCACATTGATTGTGGCAACTGCTTCAGTTCTTCGTCCTTCTTCCCCCATCCTATTCACGCCAACTTCCACGCTCCAAGCATAGCCACTCCATCGCCCTCCTGACCCTTGCTCGTTTCTTGAATCCTCTTGCCTAAGCAGCACCTAGAGAAAGGGAGGGACGAGTGAGGGGAGAGGGCTGAATTTGAAGAGTCAACAGCTGGTATCGAGGGGTTTGAGGAATCTGTAGTTTCGGATGTTGCAGATGAGAGCTTGCGAGTGAACGTGCGTGCAGTAGGTTTTCTTCTGAGTGGGTGATGAAGCCAGGATGGATGGATGGATGGATGGATGCAGGCTGGATGCTCAAGAGGATGAGCATGGCGCCATGCGAACAGTGAGTGGGTGGCGTTCAGAAGCCCTTCCGTTCACTAGATGTTTAAGGTCTTCCATCCCCACCCTCACCCCTCCTATCCCCCTTCCCCCCTCCCTTACCCCCTCCCCAACCACCCCTCTCCCACCCCCCCCACCCAACCCCCGCTTTCTCTCTTTATCCCTTAGGGAGTGTGTGTGGGAGGAGGCATTGGCAGCATTAGTGAGGTAGCAGCGGCAGGCCACCTTCTATTTCAGCAGGTTCGTGAAATGGCTTGGAATGGCATGGAACTTGCAGATTCTGACCCGTGCACCATGTCTTTCAGCGCTAGAATGCAGAATATGCACACACACACCCTGCACCTTGAACCCTGTATCCCATACCCTGTACTCTGTACCCTGGACGCTGCACCTTCCCAGCACAAGATGAGGTTCCACTTTGTGCCAGGCCCCTTCATCCCTGTTGTACCTTCCCTGACACCCCACTCTGTGCGAAGCCCTTTGAGCCCTGAAACCCGTAACCCCCTGACCTCGCCTGCCCTAGCAGAAAATGAGGCGCATCGCGCCCCACTTTGTGCTAAACCCCAAACCTTGTTTTTTTCACCCCAAGTTTGGCTAATCTGTTGCCCGCCCTTGCAGAAGATGAGACGCATCTCGCCGCACTTTGTGCCGCGCATTCTTATCAACATGGCAGCTGGGCACATCAGCATTCGACACCGGCTGAAGGTGCGGTTGTTGTAGGGTGTGATAATAGGAGGTGTGATGGTAGGTGTGATAGTAGGAGGTGTGATTGTACAAATGTAGCAATCTCATCCACATGGCTGCTGGGCACATGAGCATCCGCCACCACCTCAACTTGAGACTCTCATCCGTATCCTTTCTTCTGCTGCTCCTCCTCCATTTCCTCATCCCCTCCCCACCCATCCATCAGGGCCCCAACCACACATCAGTAGCAGCGTGCACGACTGAGCCCATGACGTGCTCCTGTACTCAGGCCTTACATTACGATCATCGCTTTTCCCTCCCTCCCTTCTCACATCCCATCCATAGGGGGGACCTGGATGGGATGTCACACACTGTGTCAGACACAGCGTGTGTGTCATCAGCCCATGCCATGGCAGACACTATCCATACAATCTCTTCCTTACGTCTTTTATTTCAATCCCTTCTCTGTCGAATCCCCATCCCATCAGGGCCCCATGCATGCATCGGACAGAGCGTGCACGTCAGCAGCCCGTGGCATGTGGCAGTACTCTGTCTATCCTTGCACTTCAATCACGGCGTTCCCCTCCCTTCTTTCATTCCATCAGGGCCCCAACCATGCGTCAGTCACAGCGTGTGCGTCATCAGCCCATGCCATCGCAGACGCCTTCCGATTGGTCCGTTCCGGCACTGCTGACGTCATCATTGCAGGTGGCACAGAGGCCTGCATTGACGCCCTCTCACTCGCTGGCTTTTCCCGGTGCGTGTGCCTCCTATCCTCCATCCCTTCTGTCAGTGCGTTCCGTCACACACTCCTTCTCTTCGTGTCTCCTGTTGCCCTCCTCTCTTCCCCGAGCGCGCTGCTGCTGCCCCTGGTACCATCCCCACTCTTCGTCCCATCCGTCCTCTTCTCCTCCTTCCTCTTCTCCTCCCCCGACTTCCCTTCCCCCTCTTCCCCTCCCGCTCTTGTCATCCCCCGTCTTCCCCTCCCCCGTTTTCCCCTCCCCTGTCTTCCCCTCCCCCTCTTCCCCTCGCCCCTCTCCCATTTCCGCAACAGCATGCTTGTTCTCAGCGCACAACACAATGACACGCCTCACCTTGCTTCCCGGCTGTTTGCCAAGTCAGCACATGGTGCAAGGCCCACCACGTGTTCCGTTTGACAAGTCACAAAGGATTCGTGTGCATGCCCCTCCCCATCTCCCCTTTTCCATCCCCCCACCAGCATGCGGGCTATCCTCTCAGCACACAGTACAATGATGGCACCCCTCAAATGGCCCCTCATTGTCCCTCACATGGCATCATATGCCTTCCCTTCTCCATGCCCTTCTCCCATCCCTCCTCTCCTATCCCCCCTCTCCCATCCCCCCACCAGCATGCGAGCCCTCAGCACACAATGCATCGACACACCCCACCTTGCGCCCAGTCGTCCCTCATCCGTTGCTAATCCCACGCACCTCACATGGCATCATATGGTATCCTCCCCATCCGCTCTCCCCCAATCCCTCACCAGCATGTGGTCTATCAGCACGCAATACAACAACACCCCTCATCTTGCTTCCCGGGCTGTTGCCAACTCAAGATATGCTTACGTCTCCATGCATTTTCCCCATCCCCCTCTCCTCCTTTCACCAGCATGCGGGCTCTCAGCACACGGTACAACGAAACACCGCACCTTGCCTCCAGGCCATTTGACAAGGCCAGAGATGGATTTGTGTGAGAGCCTTCTCCCAATGTCTCCCATGCGTCTTTTGCTACGCGCGTGCGTGCCTCGCAGCCCCTGTCTTTCCCCCTTCCCCACCCTTGTGACCCCCGTCCGTCAAGAGATGGATTCGATTCAAGTGATGGCCTTTCAGAGCGTCTTTTTACCCCTGCCTTTCTGCCCATACTTGTATGCTTACACCATTTTCTATTTGCCTACTTCCATTGTCTTTGCCTCCCTCGCATCCTGCATTTCAAATTGTGTTTCTCTCTGCATCTCGCCATGCTGGCCCTCTTTGCGTTTCTCTCACAGAATGGGGGAAGGCGCAGGCGTGTTGGTCCTTGAAGTGAGTCGTGAGCAATGAAGAGGGGACTGGATGATGTGCCTAAGAAACTGGGGGATGCGCAATACACAGTAGAGTGGGTCATTGGGGGGTGTGCAGTTGCAAATTTTACTATTGAAATAGCCGTGTGCAGTGCTGTGTGTTGGTTTACACTGTGACTAGGAAGGAACTATCTTTGACATCATTCTTCCCCCATGTTCCACTTCCCCCTTTCTCCCCTTCCACAACTTTTCCACAATGCCCTCACTCTCCTTATCGCATTGGTGGCCTGCGTTCTAGTTTGTATGTTTCAGGCGCCCTAAAATCCAACCCTGCGTTCTGCCCTCTGGTTGCTGTGCGCATTGTGACACTGTGCTGCACAGCATGTACTAGGTCCTGAGGGTTAGGGTATGCTCCTGCAGGGAGGGAGACGGGAAACTTCCTCTAATCTCTGCAGTCCCGTTCCCCTTGCCCCTCCCCCTTGCCTCTCCTCAGAATCGTCAGCGATGTAGTGTAGACTGGGTGGGCGGCAGTTAGGAAGGTATTAAGTTCGGATTCTCAAGCTCTCACTTTTAAACAGGATATCCTTTTCCAAGTTCTCTGCCATTTTTTTTGGTTCCTGCTGCCCGCCCAGAATTCTTGTCGTTGTGGGGGGGGGAGTGGGGGGGGAGGGAAGAGGGGGGTTGGAGAGGGCAGCTCCTATAGTCTCTGCAAGCGCGTTCCTCTTACCCCTCCCCTTCTTCCTCTCCACAGGACTCTCAATCAATGCGGTGAAGCTCAGTGCATGCGTGTATGCAGAGATCAGAAGAGCTGGCAGTTCCGCCTCCTCTCACCCCACGCCTCCCCGGTCCTTCCTCTTCCCCTCTTTCTTCCCCCAGCCAACCTGGCCCTCATGACCTGACCATGCCATGAGCCGTGGTGCGCGCATGTATGTAGAGCTTAGAGGAGCAGGCAGTTCAGCAGACGCCTTCCTCATCGCCCAGACCCCCACATTTTCCCCTCTCTTCCTTGCGCTCCCTGCAGCTCTTTCCCCAGGACCCAGATCACGCGGTGCAGCACGGTGCCAGCGTGTATGCTGAGGCAAGAAGAACGTGCAGCGCAGCAAACGCCTCCTCCCTGCTCTTCCGATTCTTCTCCCCTCACCAACCTACCCCGCAGGACCTAGAACATGCGGTGCAGCGCGGTGCCAGGATGTATGCAGAGATTAGAGGAGCGGGCAGCTCAGCAGACGCCTTCCACATCACGCAGCCGTCTCCGTTGGCTACTGGCGCAGTGCTGTGCATGCGCGCTGCTCTCAAAGAGGTGCGCTTCCCACCTCTATGGAACGGACTCAAATGTCATATCACCAGCTCAGCAGACGCCCTTCACATCACACAAGCCTCGCCCCTTGCAACTGGCGCAGTGCTGAGCATGCATGCTGCGCTTAAAGAGGTACTTTTCTTTTTTTGTTGTAGTAAGCCGTGAGTGATCTCAGCAGTTCAGCGATGCCTTTCACGTCACACAGCGATCGCCCCTTGCCACTGGCGCAGTGCTGTGCACGCACGCTGCTCTAAAGGAGGTGAGATGTCATCCTTTATGGGATTGACGCATTAGACGTCTCAGCAGGTCAGCAGACGCCTTCCACATCAATCATCTATCCATCTTCCCTTGCCACTGGCGCTGTTCTCTGCATGCACGCTGCTTCCAAGGAGGTACGCTCGCTGATTTGAGAGAATTCCTCGAATCAACTCCGCATTTTAGTCAGCAGACGCCTTTCCCATCAAGCAGCCATCGCCCTGGCCGACTGAATGTGCGCTGCCTGAAGGAGGTGTGCTGTTTTTGTGTTGCCTGAGTCGTCAACTCGCCAGTTCAGCAGACGCCGGCTGCCTTCCAGATCACGTAGCCTTCCAGATCACGTAGCCTTCCCCCCGGGCCACTGGCGCTGTGCTTGGCGTGCGCGGCACCATATATGCCGAGCGCACCGCCAGTGATGGGCAGAGAGAATGCCGAACGCACATGCCACCCACTGCCATTCCTTTGTTTCTCTCTGCCTCCCCTATGCCACCCACTGCCATTCCTTCGTCTCTCTCTTTGCTGCCCCCAGTCCCCTTGCCCGCTCTGTGCATTCTCCTACCCCCTTTGGAATCACAGGCCGGCCTACAGCCATCTGCCAACTTGCCATTCGTTTCCTCAACGCCCATGCCACCGCCACTCCTTGCCTGCTCTCCTGCCCCCAGACTCCATGCTCTCTCCATGCATCCCTCCTACCCCCTTGATTTCCACAGGCTGGCTGGTATAGAGCCATCTGATATTGGACACCCCGGTGCTCATTTGACCCTTTTGTCCCTCCTGCCCTTGATGATGTCTCTCCATGCTCTTTCTGTGCATTCCGCCTCTCCCCTTGATCAACTCAGGCTGGTCTAGAGCCATCTGACATTGGTTACGTGAATGCGCATGCCACATCCACTCCTCTTGGTATGTCACAAGGGCCATGACTCATCTAACAGGAGGACTCATATCGCATCTGTGATATATGCTGTTGCCACGGAGGCTTGGGTTACTCTGCACTTTCCCGTGTTTTCCCCTGCTTCGTTCTCTTTGCTTCTTGCAATCTTCCCCCAGTCTCCCCCCCCCCCCACCAACCGTCCCCCCACCATTTTCGTTTTTTTGTTTATGTGACTGCCCTTGTACTGAGTTGTGGTTGCCAACCAAGCTGCTGAGGCGCTACAAACGCCATTTCCTCTTGCGCCTTTTCGAGTGCAGGCGATGAGATAGAGGCGCTTGCCTTGAAGAGTGTGTTTGACCAGCACGTGCTCTCAGGAGCCCTGGCTTTCTCGTCCAGCAAGGTACGGTGCTCCAGCTTAGTCTACTTGAGGGCTAGGCCGCTACACTTGCACTGCCGCTACACTTGCACTGCCGCTACTCTTGCACTGCCACTACTCTGGCACTGCCGCTACTCTGGCTGGCACCGCCGCTAGGCTTGCACCCCTACACTCTGCACGCTTGCTCTTCTTCCCTAAGAGTGTGTCCCACCAGATGGGGCTCTCAGGAGAGTTGGGGCCAGTGTCTCACGCCCGAACCATCACCTGTTTTTAGGCACCTCAAAATAGGCTTCATAGTCCTCGAGCCAGTGCAGAAATCATAACCATTCTGTGCACGTGTGTGTGGGGAGTGCTGGGCACCTGCTGGGGGCTGTAAGGGTGACTTTTGAATCGACTCAAAGTCAACTCGAGCCAGTGCAGACATCATAACCATCTCGTGCGTGGGTGTGCAGGGAGGGCAGCATGGGCGGGTTATCAAGAAGAGTGTGCTCCATCAGCATATGTTGTCAGGAGGCCTCGAGCCACTGCCTAACACCAGAATCATCACATGCATGCATATGTGCAGGGAGCGCTGGGTCACCTGCTGGGGGCTGCAGGGGCGGTGGAGGCTGCAATCACTGTAATGGCGCTGCACCATGTGAGTGTGGTGGTGTGGTTTGGCATATATGGCATGTACTTGCGGCTGTATGGTATGGTGTGTGCTTCATCATGGCCATCGTGGCATATATGTATGGCGTGTATATGAAGCAGCTTCTAGGGTGGTTTGCTGGAATGAAGGCCGCAGGGGTGGTGGGTGGGTCTGCTGTTGCTGTGATGGCTCTGCACCAAGTTGAGTGTGGTGGTGTGCCATGGCATGTCATGACATGCATGTGAAGCAGCATGGTATGGTGGGGGTATCATGGCATGCGTTGAGGGCCCCAGAGGCAGTGGAAGCTGCTATTGCGCTGATGGCGCTGCACCATGTGAGTGTTCTGTGGGAGTGTGGCAGTCTGGCGAGTATGGCGAGCATGGCGAATCTAATACTATGAAAGCGCGATGAGTCTGTATGTCATAAGCGCGCCAAGCCTCCCAAAAAAAAGGTGGGAAAACAGGCGAACATTGACGACCAGCCAAGCGAACCATTTCGGCACTTCAAACCAGTGGCGAAAACGATACCAGCGACACAAACAATTTCGCGACATCAACCCTATGTTACGTGTGAGAATAAATCAAACACGAACAAACACTACGAAACAACGAGCTGTTGTTTCAACAAACCCTAAAAGAGGGAGAACCTATAACAAAAATGTGCATGCGGGTACGGCGTGCGAAGCCAGCACTAATATTGCATGGCAAGTATGCCCCTCGGATCTCCCACTCCCATCCTCCATCGAATCCCCCAACATCGATTTCTTTGTTTGCCCACTGTCTCTCTCCGCACATGACTCATCCAATCTTCCCCCTCCTCTCTCACCTTTCCAGGGCATCGTACCTCCCAACGTCAATCTCCTCAATCCAGACCCTGTCTTTCGTGGAAGCTTCCTGCCCACTGCAGCAGCGGCATCAAAGCCTATGAATGCTGTCATGAGTAACTCATTTGGCTTCGGAGGGACAAATGCCGCTCTTGTCTTCGGCCTCCCCCCACTCTCTTAGCCGGGCATTCTGTGTTCGGAGCCACCGAAAAATACACCAGCAGCAGCAGCAGCACGACCACCACCACTAGCAGCAGCATCAGAATTAGCAGCAGCAGCAGCAGTGGCATCAAAGCGCATGAGCGCCATCATGAGCAACTCGTCTGGCTTTGGAGGGACAAACCCATCCCTGGTCCTTGGCATTCCTCCTCTTGCTTGGAGCTATTTCAACCTTCGGAAGTGTTGCTAAGGGCGGGTCCAAAATGTTTGTTTCGCAAAATACCATACCCAACCATTCTAGTCTGTTATTCGAAAGCTTTGAAACGCAACGAAAGCTACTCCACCATAAGGTCCAATTACCGCCCATGAAGAAATTTTGTCTAAGGGCCAATTACCGCCCTCACAACCCGATGAGTGCTGGAGGCTGTGTGAGGCTATGTGTGGAGCCAGATCAGCACGTGACGCATGCTGTAATTCGTGTGGGGGAGGGGGATCGCCCGGGGGGGACTGGCCCCGGTTGACCATCGCCAACCAATCTGCGTGAACGTAAGGGCGTGTTCTGCGTTCCGATCTGCGTTCCATGTTGCATGGAGCCCCGACCTTCCTGTGCCAGACCGAGCTGTCCCGGAAATTATTAACAAGATTTTTTGTGCTTAGGACATGCTCTAACTTGCGGGCGTGTCTCTTTCCCACCCCCTTCGATTTCAATCTTCCCACACCCCCCTAACACAAAGTTCTCGCTAGGGCCCTCCCCTTTTCCCACGCCCGCAGGTGTGATTTATCGCCTCAGCAGTCATCCCACAAATCAGAGCCTCGTAACACGCCCCAATCCTTATTTCGCGCATGCCCTAGCTGCCCAAGGACCTCGGGCACTGTGAAGAGTACTCAAATAATGCGACGTGGAGGCTAATATGACCCTTCTAGGTTAACGTAGAAATTGAAATTAGGAACTTCTGAAGTTTTAGAAACTGCCCAACGATTCCTCTGATATTTCAGAAACTAGAAAGTGCCTAGAGCCTAGCTAGAGCCTTGAGAGACGGTCTTTCCCCCTCACTCCCTCCACTATAGAATCTTGGCTAAGTCCTCACTGTCGTGGCACTCGGATAACCCTGTCAATCCTCTCTCTATCTCTAGGGAGGGTATTGGGGAGGCTTTCCCCAAGGAAGGTGGATATATGGAGCCTAACCTCTTAACGTAGGATTGAATATCGAGAGAAAAACGTACAAGGGTATAAGCCTAAGTGTTGTACCCTCTAAGATACGAACCTATACAGTCTATACAAACATAACCTATATATATGTTTCACACACCCCCTAGACTGCTTTGGTGCAGTTCCTGATGAGAGAAACGGCAACTCAGGGCGGCACTACTAGTCCAACCTCTGAGTCAAGGGTCCAAAGACCAGTCAAACAAGTACAGACCAGTACAAGGGCAAGGCCAGGGCGGCACTACTAGTCCAGCCACTGGGAGAGGCCACAAGGCCAATCAAGAATAAACAAAAGTATATATAAAGGTCAGTACATAGTCAAAGCCCTAGCAGGTAAAGGTAACAGGAACAAGGCCTAGCTGTACACAGTGCCGCTGATGATCTTTAGGCGCAAGGGCCTTCATAAAGATATCAGCTATATTGGCACCGGAGGTCAAGTGTGCTACGCGAGCCTGGCGACGCTGCTGCAGCTCGCGCAGGAGGAAGTACCGCAGCTGGATGTGCTTTGCTCTGCCCTCAAGTCGAGGCTCCTGACACAGGAGGATCATGGCCCTGTTGTCAGAGTACAGGACTGGCGCAGAGCTAGGCCGCTCACCTAAGTCAGTGAGCAGGAAGGTCAGCCAGCGGAGCTCCTGTGCCACCATGACACCTGCGTAGATCTCGGCCTCACAGCTGGACGGGGCAATAGACGAAGAGCGAGTAGCTCTCCATGAGAGAGCACCTGAACCGAGGCTAAAGCAGTAACCCTGCGAGGACCTAAGGGTCTCTGTGTCGTCTGCCCAAGAAGCGTCTGTGTGCACAGTAAGGACCACCGGCCTGCGTCCTCCCAGCACTAACCCCATGCCTGATGTACTCGCGAGATAATGCAAAACCCTCTTAGTTGCAGACCAGTGCTGAGGTCTGTGTCTGCTTGTGGCCACAAAGCAAGCCAGGATGCTGAGAGGGTATGCGAGATCTGGACGAGTGCAAGTCAGCAGGTACATGAGGCAACCCACCAGCTCTGCATAAGGACCACTGGGTTGGTGAGAGCGATGGTGCGCGCTGCTCTGTCTCTGGAGATCTGCAGGCCCAGGTAGTGGCGCAGCTCTCCTAGGTCAGTGCAGGTGTGTCTCCTCAGTAGCTCAGCCTTTACAAAGGCCAGCGCGGTGGTGTCTGCAGTGGCAAAGACCAGATCGTCTACGTAAACAAAGATGTAGAACGGAGTCTGGCCAGAACGAACAATGAGCGAGGGGTCTGCGGAAGATGGAAAGAACTGCAGGTCTGCAAGAGTAGCACGCAACGTATCGTGACACTCGCAGGGAGCCTGACGCAAGCCGTAGACTGGGCACCACAGAAGCCACTGGGTCCCAAGAGGGAAGGTATCAGTGAAACCCTGAGGGCGGCGCAGGTAGACCTGCTCGTGTAGACTGCCCTGAAGAAACGCAGTGGAGAAGTCGAGGGAGTGTAACTGGTAGTCACGCTGTGCTGCTACGTGTAGCAGTGCCCGAAGAGTAGTCATCTTTGGCGTCGGGGTGAAAGTCTGAAAGAAGTCCACCCCCTCACGCTGACTAAAGCCTCTAGCCACGTAGCGCGCCTTGAACACAGGCGGCTCTCCAGGAGGGCACTTCACCTTGAAGAGCCAACGGCCATCGACTACGTTCACCCCAAGTGGAGGAACTCCGTCGACGTAGGTGCCGGTGGATCTCCAAGATGCCATCTCCTGCTCCATGGCAGCTATCCACTGAGAGGCCCAAGGTCCCGAGGTTGCCTCAGCGTAAGTGCGAGGGGTCGGGATGTCGAAAGCGTCTGGGTCACCCTCAGGTACTAACAGCATGGAACAGAGATGGGGAGCAGCCTCGGACAGGAAAGCAAGCTCGTACTGGCGGTCCTCCAAGACGTCACTGCCGACGGTAGGAGCACCCCAATAGACGGAGGACAGGAAGGGTAGAGACCAGAGCGGTGGCGTGGTCAAGGCGGCGGGTAGAGGCGAAGCCAGCGACCACGGCGACAAGAGCGTCGAGACACGAGACCGGAACAGACGGGTCGGTAACGAGGGAGGCAAAGACCCGAGGAACAAGGGGACGAGCGGCGCGGAGGTAGTCAGACAGGGGGGAGGCATAGCAACAAGAGAGGACGGAGGCGGCGACGGTAGGAGGGTAGGACGAGATGCGTGGGAACGAAGCAACATAGGGTGAGAGTGCTGGTCAGGGGAGACAGGGCGAGCACGGGAGGGACGGCGAGACCAGACGTGAGACGGAGCCGTCGGGTCAGGAGACAGAGGAGGGGACACAAGAGGGGAACAAGGAGGAAGACGAGCCGGAGACGAGTCCGGGGGAGGGAACACACGGCCGTAGACAGGAAACGGAGGAGACGGCAGGGGAGGCACAGACACGCGGTCAGGGGACGGGAGGCCGAGCAGGCGAAGGGCTGACACCGGCGGTGACTGCTGCTGCGGCGGCACGACACCGACACCGGGACGGCAAGCTGCTGCACGGCTACCTCCGGAACATTCCACTTCAGCACCCCCAGAAGGAACACCCCCAGGGCCCGAAACCCCGCGAACACCGATACCACCCCCAGGCCCGCCGGGACAAGCCACGACAGGAACCCCAAGACTATTACCCACCCCAGCACCAGAACCCCAGAGTCAACGAACTGCTGCTGTGTCAGCTGCGGCGACAGCTGCGGCGGCGGTGACGGCGGCTGCGACAGCGGCGGCGACGGCGACTGCGAAGGCGGCAGAGGAGGCGATGCCGGGGAAGGGGCAGGCGGCAAGGACTACGCTGCAGGGCCACCAGAGTCAACAGACTCCTCGAACGGGACAACGGACGGGAGGGGAGTGACGTGAGACACACCAGACGGTGCAGGACGGTGAGGGGGAGGCGGGGGGACAGGGGGAGAGTAACCGGGGGACCTCTGTGGGGGAAGCGGCGGTAGAAGGAGACGGACTCGTCAAAGTTGACGTGACGGGAGTGAAAGAACCGGTGAGACGGCGGGTGGTAGAAGTGCCAGTCGGACGCGTCAAGGGGGAAACCGAGGAAGACACAAGGGAGGGAGCAGGCAGTGAGATTGTCTGTGCCAGAGGCACGAACGTGAGCAAGGCAGCCCTAGACATGATACGCAGAGGCGTCACCAGGAGACACAGACCAAAGATGGGTCGGCGAAACTTGCGGCAGCCGGGGGTGCGGCCACAGGTTAAGCTGGTGAGCGGCGTAGCGAACAGCGAACGGCCACAGAAAATGGGGTGCACCGGCATGGATCATGGAGGTACGGGCCACCTCCATGACCAAGTCGATGCGTTGCTCAGCGACCCCATTCTGCTGCGGGGAGTCCGGCAGGGTGAACGTCTGGGTGATGCCCTCCGCACGACAGAAACAACCAAGGACACCAGAGGCAAACTCGCCACCACGGTCGGAGAGGAGACGCAAGACAGGGAGACCGCGGTGGACACGCGCAGAGACAAGCCATGGGATGAGAACGTCAGGCACATCGGCCTTCCGCTCCAGGGGGAACACTGTGGTGTAGCGCGTGTAGTCGTCGACAAGCACTAGGAAGTAGCACTCTCGACGCGGCCCATGGACGGGGGCGGGGCCCCAGACGTCCATGTGCAGGGTCTGTAGCGATGCGGCGGTAGGGGGGAAAGGAGGAGTGAGGGGCACGGCGGAGCCGGCCCTCGACACAGGGCGTGCACGGTGGTGCTGGGGAGGAGGGCAACTTGGGGAACGACCCTGGGAGACCTAGGACAAGACCGTGCTGTGACATGTAACGCAGGCGCTGGAGGGCGGGGTGACCTAGACGGTGGTGCCACAGGAATGTCGGGTGAGTGAGCGACCGACAGGAGCAGGCCACAGCAACCTAGGTAGACGCAGCCACCTGAGAAGACGTCCCTACCAGAGGGGTCGGAGTGTCCAGTGTGAGCAGGACGGACAATGGGTCCCGGGGGAACGTGGTGAGGGGGGCACCAGTGGCGGCCTCGGTACAGACAGCGTACCGCTCGTGACTAGGGAACGTAGTGGTGACGCAAAGGTCCTTGAGGCAGCCGACACCAACCAGGTTCCTGGAGAACGAGGGGATGTGCAGGCCTGTAAGAGAGCCCGAAGGAACCGCCGGACAGGGAAGGGTGGTGGAACTGCGAGCGACTACCGGGCCGGAGGAGGGGTCGGCAAGGGAAACTACAGCAGGAGTAGCAAGCGGCGTCAGCG